CTCTTTCTTTGATTACATTGGGATAAAAGCTTAATGGTGGTTTAAGTAGCTGGGTCAAAGGATATGTGCAGTTTGTTAACTTTCTGGGGTTAGTTTTAATTTGCTTTTCAGAACGGCAACACCAATTCACAGCTTCATTAAAAGGGCACTACTGTACCTGTCTCCCCAAAGCCCTTCCAACATTTGTCATTTTCCTTTTTTGTCATCAGTGCCAGTCTTATAGGTATGAGGTAGATCTTCAAAGTTGCTTTGATTTGCTTTTCTTTAATTACCAGTGATTTATAGCATTTTCCCATGATTATTAATAGCTTGTTTTTCCTCCTTTGAAAACTCCTGACCATTTATTTATTGGGGTATAGATCTCAGTTGCATATTTGAATTAGTTCCTTATATATCTTAGAAATGAAAGCTTTATAAGAAAAATTTGTTACACAGATTTTCCCCCTTTCTGAGCATTTCTGGTATCTTTGCTCTGGTAACTAAATTATATTGGTTAAACTTTTACATTAGATTATTACAGTCAGGGTTAATGCCATTTCTCTTGTCTGGAATGAAATGAATAAAATAGGGTTTCAAAATTCCAGTAAAGCAAATTTAAATTATATGCCATGTCTGTTCCCAGATTATAAAATCAGAGATAAAAAAATTCTGTATGTTTGGTTATCATATAATTAAGGAGGTTATACTTGTATCCCTTCCAAAATGAAAAAATTCTGCAAAAGAAAATTCATTTTTCCCTTTCCAGTAAGTTTGAACCAACCTTGCAGTCAACATTAATCCAAATTTACCTTAAGAATGTATATTCAACTCATTAATCATACCTCTTGAAATGAAAACCCACTACTTCATCATGTTGTTCATTTCTATATTTACTTGGCATCTCAGAAGAACAGAAATAAGCTAACTGGATACAACTATTCCCAAGGGAGTTTTGAAAAGGTGCATTTTAATGGATCCGCCTACAATTTAGAGGGCCCCACTCACAGCCTCTACTAAAACAGGAGCAGTAATGGCAATATAAAACTACTCCAGAAAACAGTTGTTTCAAGTTACTTAGGTAGAAATATTGTAAAGTCAAATTCTTTCTGATCTGACTTTATTTGTGTGAAAAGTGTTTTGTAATTGTGTTCATGGAGTTCCTAGGTTTGTTTCGGCAGGTAGACTCCCAAGTATTTTATAATGTCTACAGTAAGTTTAAATGGAATTTCTCTTTCTATTTCTTGCTGTCGGGCTTTGTTGATAATATATAGAAATGGTGATGATTTATGTGGGTTTATTTTATAGCCTGCAACTCTGCTAAAGTTGTTTATTATTTCAAGTAGTTTTTCACTTGATTCTCTAGGATTCTCTAAATATATCATCATATCATCTGCAAAGAGTGATAGCTTTGTTTCTTTTTTGCCTATTCTAATACCTTCAATTTCTTTTTCTTCTCTTATTGCTAAAGCTAACGCTTCCAGTACGATATTAATTAACAGTGGTGATAATGTTCATCCTTGTTTCACCCCTGATCTTACTGGAAATGCTTCTAGCCTGTCCCCATTACATATTACACTGTATTGTTGAGAAGAGCCAAGTCCTGATCATCACACAATATTGCTGTTACTATCACACAATGCTTGCTGAAGGTTTTAGATAGATGCTATTTATTATTTTAAGGAAGATTGCATTTATACCTATGCTTTCTAGTGTTTTTAATAGGAATGGGTGTTGTATTTTGTCAAAAGCTTTTTCTGCATCTATTGAGATGATCATATGGTTTCTGTTGGTATTCAAAGTGTTTATTTCATTATAACAAGTCATAATTACTTAAATTCCTATAGAATTTTTTTTTTCTTAAGAGTCCTGAAACAAAAACCTATTATACTTTGTATCCCTGAAGAAATGCAATCTTTTAAAAGTTGTAGGGCAGAAATGATCAATACATCTGGACTGCAATATTCAGGAATGAATGGAGGATAATTTTCAGCTCAGCCCAAGCTCCATTCTTACCAAAAAAACCAAAATGTATCTTAAAATCACAAAATGTTAGAACTAGAAGAGATTTTTTTTTAGCTCAACCACCTAATTTAATAGATGAGGAAACTGATATCAGAGGAGGTTAGACAACTTGCCCAACTAGTTAGAGGCAGGTATGGCAAGAACCCATGTTTCCTGATTCCTACTCTGGTGCTATTTTCTTTTTTTTTCCCCCAATTTTTTTTTTTTTTGGTAAATAGCATTTTATTTTTTCCAATTACATGTAATGATAGTTTTCAATATCCATTTTTTATAAGATTTTGAGCTCCAAATTTTTCTCCCTCCCTTTTTCCTTTCCCCCAAGACAGCATGCAATCTGATACAGATCATACATATGCAATCATGTTAAACATATTTCCACATTAGTCATGTTGTGAAAGAAGAATCAAAACAAAAGGGAAAAACCATGAGAAATTAAAAAACCCCAAAAAACAACATAAAAAAGTGAAAATAGTATGCTTTGATTTGTGTTCTTTCTCTGGATGTGGATAGCATTTTCCATCATGAGACCTTTGGAAATGTCTTACATCACTGTATTGTTGAGAAGAGCCAAGTCCTGATCATCACACAATGTTGCTGTTACTATGCACAATGTTCTCCTGGTTAGCGCTATTTTCACTACATCAAATAATCCAATAAACTACAGATATAACTTGATTTTTCATAAAGGAACTGGTGAGTACCAAACAGGCCAAAATAATCAGCCAAATGGGCTGTGGATACTATGGCTTTTCTCCCTAGAGCTTATGTATATGCTTGGGGTCTATAATGATGAGAATACCTAGCTCTATATACCTTGATTCCTGCTTTGGGGAATCCATAGGGGATTCCAGTCCTATTCTTTCAGTGCAATGTACTTTCTGAGCAGTGGGGAGGGAGGGGCAATTACAAAGTACTTCTAACATCCCTGGCATAGCTCTGAGAAGTCTAATTTCTTCCTTCCACATAACATGGATTATTAAAAGTTAATAATGAACAGGCAGTTTTCAGAAGAAGAAATCAAAGCTATAATCATCTAAAAATGCTATAAATCATTATTGATTAGAGAAGTACAAATTACAATAACTTTGAGGTACCACCTCACACCTACCAGATTGATGACAGAAAAGGAAAATGACAAATGTTGGAGAGGATGTGGGAAAAATAGGCAAGCTAAAACATTGTTGGTAGAATTGTGAACTGATCTGACCATTCTGGAGAGCAATTTAGAAAGAACTATGCCCAAAGGGCTAGAAAATCATGCATACCCTTTGATACAGGATTACCACTACTAGGTCTATATCCCAAAGAGATCAAAGAAAAAGGAAAAGGACTTTTTTGTACAAAAATATTATAGCAACTCTATTTGTGTGGCAAAGAACTGGAAATTGAACAGATGCCCATCGATTATGGAATGGTTGGACAAGTTGTGCTATATGATAATAATGGAATACTATTGTGCTATGAGAAATGATGAGCAGGATAGGTTTTAGAAAAACCTAGGAAGATATATATGGACTGATACAAAGTGAAGTAATGACAATGATCAACTGTGAATGACTTGGCTTTCACACCAATACAGTGATGCAAGATAATTCTAAAAGACTGATGATGAAAAATGCTATCCACCTCCACAGAAAGAACTGATGGAGTCTCGAATGCAGATTGAAACATACTTTTTTTTTTAAACTTTGTTATTCTTGGGGGTTTATGGGTCTGTGTTTCCTTTTACAATATGGCTAATATGGAAATGTTTTTGCATGACTGCACACGTATAATCTATATCAAATTGCTCGCCTTCTCAAGGGCAAGGAGAGAATGTGGAACTCAAAATTTTTAAAAAATCAATGTTAAAATTTTTTTGTTTCATGTAATTGAGGAAAAAATTAAATGTAAAAAAAGTTAATAATTATGAAGAGCTAATTTCTTGTAATTTAATCTGTCTTCTTTGGGCCCTTAACCAGCAGAGTTATACTCTACCTACAGAATGCAAAGCTTTACCAGTTTGATCTCCAACTTGATTTGAATATGCCATGTCTCACCCATTCCACCCCACTCAAAAGAATTAAAAAAAGTTATTAAAGTAAAGCCAGTAGTGTCACCTCCCTCATAAGACTTGCTGTCACCCTGACAGGCTTCTAATTAACTTCAGGATTATTCTATTCTACTAACTTTCCCCCCTTTCTGAAACCTTGCTGATCTCAAGCATATCTTCAGGGGAAAAAAAAGGCTAGAATCTCTTATTTTAAAGATTATGCTCCATGAGGCTGGTTGCATGCTTAACTGGTGAGGCTAAAGGAACCATTAGGGCTTTCTTCACCATTCCATGATTTTGATAAGTGACCTGAGATCATTCACATTGTTCTGCTCTGCTCCCTCTGGAAACCGAGTTTCAGGAACAGGCATCTGTATTCCACATTCTTTCTAATTTATTCAAGCTTTCAGTATTGTAAGCACATGCAACTTATGACAAAAGTAGTCTCAGGTATGTTTGCTAATACACATAATTGTTTTTGTACTACTCCATAATTAAGACGAAAATAGCAAGATATTAAAACAACATCCCCTATACTCCCCTATTCCCAATCCATTACCTTCACTCAAGGCAAGAAAGGGTCAAATCAACAGAACTGACCCAACTATAAGGCAACATCTTTACTGAGACAATCCCAGAACTACTTGTGTGGAAGCTGTGCTCTACCATATGAGCAAATGCGCACGCCTCAGCCTTATCAAAAACCCCAGGTGTGGACCCAATGACTAGGAACTACGGCTACAATCCCAAGCCACACGACCTGGCAGGTCCGGTAATACACTGAAATAGACATGTACCGTATAGCGCTTACAGCCAAGCCCTTATCAAAAAGTTCTCAGACTTAACCTATTTAACAGTTTAATTTGACCCTGTAATTTAAAGGCATATAATGAATTCTGAAAGAATTCATTTCTTGAGCTTATATAAATATAATTTTTGGAAAAACTAAAATCTAAAGACTACATACTCGGACATCCACTGAGCAGCCCACGGTCCAGGATGGATTTCCCAACACCTGATTTTGACACAAAAGATGAACAAGTGAAGATTTCCCAACACCTGAAAAAGATACAAATACTTCAATTTGTGTGTATAGTGGAATCTATCTTCATATTTCTCAGCACAAAACCTTGTCTCTTACTTTACAGAGATTAAAGGCATCCATCTCAACTCTCCTCCCCAAATCGACACCTCAAAATCTCCCTATAAAATGTGTCCATCCATCCCTATCCCTTCTCCCTGCCATAGCTAACTTCTCCACTTGTGCACTTTATCCTATCACTATACAACTTCTTCAAGAGCTTACTCCAGTAAGCATTTCCTCCCTCTTCAGAGTGCCCCAGCTCCATATTCTCTCCTTCTCTCTCTCTTTTTTCCAATTTCTCCCTATTTACTGGTTTCTTACATATTGCCTAAAAACAAAATCCAATGGTTTAATCTTTGAAAAAACAAAAACAAAACCAAAATATCTGCCTTTGATCTTACAGCTGCCTCAAGCTATCTTCCCGTATCTATCTTTCCCTTCTCTGCTTAATCTCTAGAATGAGTAGTATCAAACCACTGCCTCCACTTGCTACTTACTCACTCCTCAACATTTTATAATCTGGCTTCTAAACCTACCATATGATCGAAACTTTTCTTTTTTTTTTTCTTTTTGCTAGGCAATGGGGTTAAGTGACTTGCCCAGGGTCACACAGCTAATAAGTGTTATGTGTCTGAGTCCGGATTTGAACTCAGGTATTCCCGAATTCAGGGCCAGTGCTCTATCCACTGTACCACCTAGCTGCCCCCGATTGAAACTTTTCTTAAGGTCTCCAATGATGTCTTAATTGCTAAATCCAAATGCTTCTTTTTTTCCCTCAGTCTTCTGCCTCTTTGACCTGTTTACATTTTTCAACACTGCTGACCACTGTTCTGCCTGCATTCCTCATCATCTCCTAGCTTCTATGACACTGATCTCTTCTAGTTGTTCTCCTACTTACATGACAATACTTTTAAAATCTCCTTTGATGGCCCATCATCTTCCTGCCCCTCTAAGAATGGGAGTTCCCCAGGTTCTGTCTCAAGTCTTATTTTCTTCTTTTCATACTCTCTCTTGTGGTGAATGCATCTAATGGTTTGGGTTCAGTTATCACCGGTATGCAAAAAAACCCTCCAGACATCTGTATGTCCAGTGCTAATCTCTTCCCCAGAAATGTGGTGCTACATTACCCACTGGACAACTTGCACACACACGTGCTCACACACACACACACACACACACACACACACACACACACATTTTTTAAACCTGGGACACCATGGCCAAAAATCTCATTACCTATTAGAAAACCTAGTGGTGATGAATCTCTTTGTTCTTAGCTAAACTGGTTCTAAGACAGCAGATAATCTCTCATATTTCAAGCCTTTCCAGCTTTATAAAACCTGACAGAGCTTACACTCCTTTGGGAAACCAAGGCCGCCTCCCAGCCATGAAGCACCAGAATTAGACTGTTGTGGTAGAAAAGAAGAGGGCTGATAAGTCAGAAGGTGAGGGATAAACATGGACCGTTGAGCAATCCACTCATATACATGAACTATTGGAAGAAATAGAGAAAAGCGTTAGGTAGGGGTAGGTGGATTGTCTAATAGGATGGTACAGCAGAAAGGACAATGAATTTGAAATCATAACACTGAGTTCCGAATCCTGGCTCTGCAACATCCTACTTGTGTGACCTACAGCAAGACACTTCACTTCTCTGACCCTCAGTTTCCTCATCCAAAGATCTCTAAGGTCCCTTTTAGTTCTAAATTCTGTGAGGCTGTACTAGTAGTTATGACTTAGCTGAAATACTCAAAACAAGAATCACATATGATGAGAAGGGGGAGAGGCAGCAATTCGCATGGGTTGAGTTTTTACTCACACCAAAAGAACTGCAGATCCACTGATGTGTTTAAGAGCACTTAACCTGCAAACTCTGTCCAATTATCAAATCGGCCATATTACCAGAGGAGCTGAATTTCATCCATGTAAACATTCCTATTTTAAATGAAATCACAGGCCGTGAAAATTGTAGCAAAATAGAGGAGGATGATTTGCCCCCATGCCCAAAGACAATAAGAAGCATCATTTCATGGACCACTTGGTCATCTTGCCTTTGAATGCTCATGATGACTGTAAGCCAATATCCATCTGTTAGCAGGGGACGAAGTTGAGAAATTTTACAAAAACCTTGATAAGATCATCTTGATTCAGGGAGCTTATCCCCTAGTACCTGGTGACTTCAATGTGAAAGTGAGAAGCCCAGCAGCAAAAGCAGTCACCCGTATATAGGATTTAGGGCTGAGAAATCTTCCATGCCAATCCTCTTGTTTCACAGATGAGGAAGCTGAAGCTCAAGGCAGATAAGTGGTTTGCCCAAGGTCACTTATATGAGGAGTAGCACGAATACTAAAAGACAAGTGCAAAGTGTGGGCAAGCACTAAATGAAATCATAAAAAATGAAGCTGCATTTTGACAGGAAATGTCTGATCAGTCATTTCATAATCAACAATCTACGAGCAGTCAAATCATTGCCTGGTTAGAGCAAAAGGGACAAGTATTTACTAAGACTTATAGCAGCACCCGTCTAACTTAAAAAAAGCTGTAAAATATCAAAAATGGAAACTGGATAAAAGACAATTCAATTCGACAGTCATTTGCTGAGTGGCTATTATATATAAGATACCCACTGGGTATTAGATGCTGGAGAATATAAAGATAAAAATTAAATAGTCCCTGCCCTAAAATTGTTTACAGTATACTGTACACAGATAAAGAGAGTACAAAATACATACAAGTAAATATAAAGTAACTTTGGTGGGAGCACCAACACAATCCCCCTCCCCCAAAGCTACAGAAAAGATCTCCAAAACAATATGGCCCATGAATACACCACAGGGCTTTGATGACAAAGGAGGTCATCTTATGCTGGGGGGTTGGAGGGACACAGCCTTTGCAAACACACAGATGATGCTGAGAGAGGTTAAATAATGATGATGATGACGATGATGATAAAAATAATAGCTGACAGTTATAGAGCACTTACTGTGTGCCAGACACGATGCTAAATGCTTTACAATTACTATCTCATTTGATCCTAACAATAACCATGAGAGGTAGCTGCTATTAGCATCCCCATTTTGCAGATGAGGAAACTGAGGCAAAGAAAAGTTAAGTGCCTTGACCAGGGTCACACAGCTAGTAAGTGTTTGAGGCAGCATTTGAACTTAGAACATTCTGATTCCAAGTCTAGTACTCTATTACTCTACACCAATTAGCTACACCTTGTTCTTCCCAAACCTAGTTTTTCTGACCATGACTTGCAAACTGCCTCCCCCAGGCCACTATTCCTGCTCTGGGTACATTCTTCTCTCTTCACAATCTCAACCCTTTAATTGGAACCAGTTGCCACAATCCTACAGTTTCCAATTTGTTGATCCTTTGTCCCAAGCTTACACCCTGTAAAACCACAACCCTAGATTCCTCCCCTCATCCATTCCTTTTGCTCCTCATCACATGCTCCTGAAGGGAGTTAGAGGAATTCATCACCCCTCCCCCATCACTACAAAATTATATTACCTAATCTCACTTGGGCCCTTATTACAGCAAGGCAATCCTTTTATTCCTCCCTAATTGATTCTCTCCCTCCCTCCCCACAATAGCTGTTCTAAATCTTTTCTCCTCAAGCCTCTCACAGCACCTCTTCCCCCACCCTGCCAGATGAAATCCTTGCCTCACACTTCACAAATTAAAAAAATAAAGAAAAGAAAAAGAAATTGAGGCAATTCCCCAAGAGCTCACTCTTCCCCTCTCCTCATCAGACAAACCCTTAACACCGCTCCTGACCATTTTATCCTTAATTAATGAAGAGACGGTTCTTTCCATTAAGGCTGACTCCTCTACATGTACTCTTGATATCAACTCCCGCCATCTTTTCCAAAAATTGGCCGCATTTTCACCTGTCTCTCCTCTAATCTTTGATCTTCAGTTTCTTCTGTGTTGTCTACAAATACTGCCAAATCTCTCCTATCCTTATAAAACCCCAACTGGGTCTCACTATCCCTGCTAACTATCATCCTGCATCTCTCCTCTCTATCTCAGACAAACTAGTATAAAGGGTCATCTACACATGGTGCCTTCACTTCCTCTCCTCTTACTCTGCAACTGAGCTTCCAGCCTCATTGTTCAATTGAAATTGTTCTCTCCAAAGTCACAAACGATTTCTTAGTTGTCAAATCTATAGCCATTTTTCAAAATTCATTCTTCTTGATCTCTGCAACATTTGACACTGTTGACTACTCTCTCCTCCTGGATAAACTCTGGGTTTTCAAAACACTTTTTTTTTCTTGGTTCTGCTCCTACATTTCTGATTTATTTCTGTCTCTTTTGATAATTCATCACGCATGTCACTGTTTTAGGATTTCTTATCTTTTCTCATTACACTATCACTTGGTGACTTCATGTTCCCATAGGTTCCATTACCATTTCTATGCTGATGATTCCCAGACCTATCTGTCCCACCCTAACCTTGGTCCTAAGCTCCAATCCTGCCTCACCAACTGCTTACTGGACAGTTCAAACTGAATGTCTAAGCGATACCTCGAGCTTAACAAGTCCAAAACAGAACTCATTATCTTTCCCCAAAACCCATCCTCTCTTCCAAACCTCCCTATGGCTGTCAAGAGCACCACCATCCTTCCCATCATCCAGGTTTACAATCTCAGTGTCATTCTTGACTTCACTCTCACCCCATATCCAATCAGTTATCAAATCTTGGCATTATATCTCTGCAACATTGCTTGCCTATATCCCTCATTCTTAACTCAAACTACCACCACCGAAGTTCAGGCCTTCATTACATCTCACCTGGACAATGGCCTCCCCACCTCAAGCCTCTCCCTATTCCACATAGACACTAAAGTGATTTTCCAAGTCAGCTCTGATAATGTTACTCATAGCTCCGCTGACAACCCAAGAAATTCTAGTGGCTACTTATCACTTATAAGTTTAAAAATAAAGTCTTCTGCTTGGTATTTAT